GTGAGAATCGCGCGGGTGGCCCTGGATAAGCTCGGAGCACAATGAGGTAGAATGTAGATCGTGGCGCGTAGAGCGTTAGAGGGAGGACGAGGAAAGGAGGACGATGCTAGGGTTAATGGGAGAAAGGGTACGATATAGAGCAGGTGGAAGAAGGAAGAAGGATCTCGAGCATAGAGAGGACAGTAGGGAGGGCCAACGGCGAAGTGCAGTTAGGGGGCGATCAGGATACAGAAAGGTTTGCGGCACCCGCGGCTACTCTTCTCTGTCTGGGCTTCATCCGGGGAAGCTTTGCATGGAAATGCCGCCACTGAATAACCCACCGCCGCTAACTTCAGCACAATAGTCGTCACATTATGTTGCGTCAGAAAGCACCGACGGCGCAGAGAGCCTGCCGGCTTTAGGAGTCGCTGATATAACGGTCCCGTTCTCCGACCCCCTTCTCCCTCCTGCCTTCCTCTCTGTTTCACTTCTTCCTTGGTCTTTCAGTACCTTTCCCTTTTCACATATCTGCTTGCTATTTATCCACGAGTATTGCAATTTTGCACATATATGCTAGGCACGTGGGCGAGAATGACAGCGGTCTGACAAGGGCAATCGGGAACGACTGTTCTCGTTCAAGTCAAATATAATTTCTTTCGCGCACATAATTACATTTGTGTATTCCACAGTTTATGTAACTAATAGGGAAATGCAATAAAAATATTAAATTTAAATATACCGCGCGATATATTATGCTTCATCGTGAATGTTATGTGTACTAATATTTACAAGATTATCTGCAAATAATGCTCGAACGAGAGTCTGCTCCATAATATCTTTCGAAAACGGAAGTTTCGCGGCAATATTATGCGACCAAACGTGCGCGCAGCTGACGACGGTTCGTCGGCGCGAAGCACTTTTCGCAGTAAGACAAACGAATTAGCGGCAATTTCGCGGAGAACCCTTCGAGCGAACGTGTCACGTACAGTCGACGAGGGAGAAAGTAGCAAGGGGAGGGGGCAAATTGTCTAGGAATAACAGCGATTACTCACGGAGAATGTGCGATTTGATACAAGAGCCGTCTCCTCGCTGCCCCTCATCCGATAGTTCGTCTTAACCGCCGCGGGCGCATGGGGCTCGGAGAGTTAATTGCGAAGCTTTGTCTGAGTCGCGGTGATACATGCAAGGATGTCTTGCCTTGCCATGAGGGATGTTCTCGAGGATCGATAGCACCGTCTCAAGACAAAATTGTCGTATCTGACGTCTCTTAAATAGGTCAATCGTATAAGATTACTTATATTTTATGTACTTCTCAAATTTTCCTGAGGCAATTTTGATTCTATCCCACACGAAAAGATTTATCAACGCTTTGTAAAAATACATCTAACGCATAGCAACGTTGTTATAGTTAAAGTTATATTTGGAATATTATTCACGATGAGAAATTATATAAGAAAAATATTATATTGAAAGTTATGCAATCTTTATATAATCCTTTTCATATTTTTAGCGCAGGCTATTTGCAAATAATGTATTCTTTTACGTAACTGCATTTAAATCGAAAATTGTTATATAGCGCGCAAAAAAAGGAACAAGAGTTTAGCATGGTAAAAACAACTATAATAGAAAACACACATACAGCGACTTTATACGTCACGTGCGTCGAGCGATGCAATACTTTTTTTTTGCGGCATGAGGCATACTAGATACGACAGGAAACTTAGCATCCTTGAACATGCAAAGTGATGCAAAAACGTCCAGCTAAAGAATATGATGCGAGCTCGTGACGGTGTGTGTAAGGAGCCTGTAAAGAACAGCGAACGAAACGCGCCCATCCAGGGCCTTTTCGTGGCAGGGGGCGGGGTCCATTCGTGACTTTCATAAGTTAATCAGTACTCTTTTGCAAGAGTTACAGCCTCGCTGCCGCGTACTCCAACATAGGAGTCTGGATCTTAGCGAGCTTGCACAATGGGGCATAACTTTGCATGGGACACGTACAGCGAGCAACAACTAACAACTAAGATGTTTCGCGGAGTCGGCGGAGCCAACTCTCCGTCCCTCTTACGAGAGAGAGCGAGAGTGCGAGCGGTAAGGTCGAGAAGACCTCTCTGAGCGTGCATATGTATCCATTATGCAAATTTCGTAGCCATTATAATAAGCGAAGCCCTCGGCATACCTTAGAGGCTGGCGTCGACAACTGCCAACATTACCGCAACATGGCGACGTGGTCCAAGAGGACAAATTCAATTAGGACTCGGACGATAAGTTTAGAGTTTAGTTAATCGGTTGAATCGTTTCGACTATTACAACTCCTCTAAATCGAAGTCATTTACTAAACAGATTTAGAAAGCGAGTCTCGCGGAATTTGAAAATAAATTATATGCGACAAATCTTTTATATCATTGTGTTACTTTCCTCGTTATATATTTTAGTATAAACAACTATTTGCATACGCAATTATTTGTTGATTATCGAGAGACGAGTTGCCGCAAACTATGTGAAAAGTTTCCGAGATTTTGCGCGAGGAAATGTCGAGGTGAATCGCCGGTGACCACGACCTCCACTCTGTACTACAGTATCCCAAACTCCAACACCTAAGCTCTCCGTGTCCAAGATTAATCACCCTTGGTCGGGTCTTCCGTCGGATCTCTACCCATTCGTTCCTCCTTCCGCGACCGCTCGTCCACTTTTGGAAGGGCGGCCCACCTTACGGAGGTTCTCATTACTTAAGGCGCGGCATTAGCATATCGATTTCCTGCGGGAACAGTTTCAGAAATTCTCCTGGTCCCCGTGCTCTTTCGTATTACGGTATAATGAGAGACGTCATCCGCATAACTTTAAACCGTACGATTCAAATTCAAAATAGCCGCTTTAATCATTCTTCTGTACCAATTGAAATATCAAGTATTCATTTATGGAATACGATTGCGATACGATCTGTCATATATCGTAAAAAATATTTTACGATATAAATATATATAAAACAAAAGTTTTAATTATATATATCGTAAAAAATATTTTACGATATATAAAACAAAGTTACATATATCGTAAAAAATATTTTATGATATGTAAAACAAAAATTTTAATTTTTTTCTCTGTTTTGTGTCTGCACACATTTCTAAAAATTTCAAAGTAATAATTGTAAAATAAGATAATTAGATCAGCACACAAAGTGATATTCCAAAATCATATGTACATTTACATAATAAATTATTTTAAATTATCTTACATATATATATATATATATATATATATATATATATATGTGTGTGTGTGTGTGTGTGCATGTATATTAAATAATTATGAAGAAAATATTTACGCTAACGGGTTTAAGAATGTAAGAATTAATTAACAAATAGTGTGAATTTTAAATGCAACTCAATGATTGTTCCATTGATATTTTTGAAGCCTTAAAACTTATACAAATCCTGGCAGGACAGTTTCACATCAGCGTGTTACGAGTTTGCGCTGCTAGCACCCAACTCGTGTAAAGCTCCGTGAAAGCCATTATCGCCTGCCTCTCTCTTCTCTTCCCCGGCGTTCATCGTTCTCTTTCTCTACGGGTGTACCACTATTTCGGTCCAGCGGGTTAAAGAACTTGATGGTCGGAGAACAAGGGGACGAATCGAATCGTGAGGGCAGTTGGGTGAGGGGGGACGAGCTATATAGCGACAAATACTGTGTTCTGACCGGCTTCCTATCCGCCTACTCCCAATAAAAAGAAACAAAAACCCATTGTTGGCCATTCTGTGGGTGGCGGGCTGGCTGGGTGATCCATCAGGGCTCGGACGGGAAAGGCTTGGGGGTAACAGTGGGTGGAACACACTGAAGCCTGCCTGCCCTGCCTGACTGGATGGGGGTGAGTAATTAACCAGACCTTCCCACACCACATGCAGTCTGACTGTTTGCACTGGAAACCTTATGTATCGTTGAATAACGGCCGAATCGTTACTATCAACTCGACACTGTATGCATTAGATGAATGTTACAAAACGTTGCTCGATTTCTTTAAGTGCATGAGAATTTTCAATGCATTTCTCGATTAAACAGATTTTCTTCTCTTTATTACAAGTTTATTGAAATGCGTATCGCGAAGAAGAAGCATATATTTTATATCGCACGTTTCTAACCGAAGAGAAATAATATTCTTTAATTAAAATATATTGAAAATTTTCACAATTAAAGAGTACTTTTAATCGAAGATCAGCAATAATAATCTCATACTCTTCACTTTATTGTAACGCGAATTATATATGCCGTCCATGCAGCACGTACTATTTGATTTTTGAAATGCTAATTGATGTAAATCATGGCGCGCCGTCATACGCAAATAGATGGATACAGCAGTTGATACGCGGAATCGACTGCAACAATGGTAAACGCGAATTCGATCCTTCATCACGGACACTAATGTCAAATTACTACCATGCAGCGTCGTTAATCATGGGTAGGAGGCGGTGCACGGCCGCTCAGTGCTCTACCGTCGAGTTATCTGTATTGTGCACCGGCCATTAAATTCAATTTACATATAAATTCGAATTATTCTATCGAAACGCTGGTCGCACAATCGTAATTGCAAGACATAATCGTAACGATCGCGCCATCCTCGTGTTCGACACCGGCTAACAGAGCGTCCGGCAACTTTGCGGTTCGCCATTCAAGCGGCCGTAAAAATTAATATTGTTACTCATAAACGATGATATTTGTGCGTTATCCCTGCAGCGCTCTTCGCCATTTTCGCGATCATCAATTTCCGATGGAATTTTAAGTACCACCATCGGCATCCGCGCAATGATGAAAAATGATTCTGCCGAGCGCATTTTATATGACGAGGTATTCGCGGTATAACATTGTATCGATTAAACGAGGATTTATCGATAAAGTATTACAACGTAATGCTTTGGTCTAATTATTATAGTCCCAGTATATTTGACGAATAAAAATGGAAATAATTTATAATGATATTGAGATTAGATTTCTTGATGTGTAATAAACAGTATTTCTATTCGTATTTTCAGAGGGCACACGGTACAATTTGGCGCAATTTAGCAGCAGCTTTCAATTAGCCGATTGAGGTTGCCCCGAGAGTCTCTTTGGCATCCAAGACCTTGTTTCGCGAAGATGAGCAAAAGCAAGGACATTCATTATCTCGTAGTGACGCCGTTCACCGTTATCAGTGCGGAAGATGGGGCACTGTTAAGGCCAGGGAGCCGTTGTGTCGTGGAAACGGAAGAAAGGAGGGGGAGGAAGCATCGGGATGAACGAGGAGGCCAAGAAATGAAGAGCACTTCTCTTTACTCTACGAGGTGTGAAGGTTGCGGAGGCGTGAAGTGGGAAGGTTGGACTAGGTTTCCACAGTCGCGGAACCGAGACGCAAGGAGGAGGTGGCGGCGGCGTCGGCTGGCGATGGCAAACGCGTCGAGGGTGAAGGTAGGTGGTGGTGATGGATTGTCCTCCGCGTGTAAATATTTCACACTACACTCATCACAATTTTCGTTCCGGCTCGGCGTTTCGCAGAGTCATAACTTCGCGTCTACTCCCGGGGTCGGACACTCACTCCTACTTTCCGCTCGTCGTCTCGTACCTCTTTCAGCGAACACTTAGCCTGGTCGTGGAGTGCACTTGCTTTAACCATCTCGTTCGTTTCGTATTCGGTACCCATTCATAGAAGAATTCTTGTTCGCGCGGGGAAGTGTTTCAACGTGTGTCTGCGCTACGCATCGTTGCTGCGTCAAATCTTGACAATCGGTACGAACCTCTACAGCGTCATTTAATTCTTATAATTTTCTAAAGTTTTTAGCGTTATTTATATAATTATTCTAGCATTAGCGTTCTCACGGCGTGTTAAACGCTTCTATTTAACGAGATTAGTTTACTAAGATCCATTTTCCGAGATCACTTTAATCAACTATAGTACCTATGAGGTTTACGACGTTAAAGTAAGTTTTTCGAGCCAACGGGTTTAGTCTAACTGGTAGGGTAGCGCCGGTACGACGGAACGACACCATCCTCGAAGTATTAAGTCCGCGTCTTGTCGCAACGTGGCTACGTTCCAAGCTGTCTTCTTTCACCGCTTCTCCTCCTTCTCGCTCCTTCATCTTCCTCTTCTTCTTTAATCCATCAATGGCACGATGAAAGGCATACGAAGAAATCTAATACCAAAATGGATTTAGCCAGCGTTATAGGATACCGGGCTCTGGAGAAATAAGTACGTCGAATCGCGTTGCAATCCGACTAAATCCATCATCCCCGTAGCTGTCGCTCCCCTGACGGTGCATCGAAATGCAGTTTAAAATGTAACACGGGCGAATGCTCTAACGCGTGCGATAACGAACGAAATGCCGGAGAGCCGGAACGCGGAAGTGCCGACGACTGCGCGTAATTATACACGGCAGACTCGAAATTGCGTTTCCATCGAGTTTTCCCAACTTCCGGTACGGGAGTTGACCGATATTTCGTGCCGTGATGCGCATCGGGCTGTCGCGTACTCCAACGATGCGTTGCACGTTGATAACGCCCGGCAACGGCTTCTTTAAATATCGCGATTAACTGCGCGCTTCGTTAAATCGTATAAATAAAGCTGGGAAATCGGATATTTTTCGAATATCACTCATAGTGACGTATGAGATTTATCGCACACAATCAGTATTTTTTTCGATACGTACGTTATCACATTTAGCTCGTCGCGAGATAACATTTCAAATTGCGAGGGCACATATGCAGCGCGAAAAAAAAAACGATAGGAAAATAGAGGAAAATTGATAAATATAAAAGCAGGCAGATCCGTTCCTACGAAATTGCGTTAATCACCGAAAAATCATTATCGCGTGTAACATTTCGATTCGTTAGATTCGAGAATTAATCCTTTGCTTTTTCTTTCACGTACATTCCAATATTTGGAGGAAGAGAGGAAAATAAGTGGAATCGGTGCATTAGGAAGGGGAAATTCTTCAACAGCGAAGATTGCGTATAAACCAAAGCGAAGAGCAGAGTGCCTTTGATACGCCATCGCAAAGCCGCCTTTCGCGAAACTATGTACAGGCATTCTATTTACATTTATACCCACCTTCCGGGTTGGATGGGGGTTTCGAGAATGTCACGGTATTCCGGAATGAAGAGGGACGAGGGTGTATCCGTAGGGCCGAACACGGAGATATATCCAGACACTGAAATTTTCGCTTCGATGCTTTCAACAATAACGCGTCGTACATCTTGTAGGGAACGACGAGCAATATTTCAAGCGACTGCAGGTTACATATACATATGTGTATACACGCGCATACAACTTGAGACGTACGCATGCGAGGACGAGAGAAACCCGGCTTCGTGTTGGCACTTGAAACACCTTCCTAACGCGATCCGTTCGCGTGCGTGCACACGCGATAGCGACGATACGTAGATTTTCGTGAAATTTGCCGCGCATCCATATTATATCAGCGAGCGACGTGAATAGCAATAATGGTGCTTGTGTAAAATGGGTGTCGGGTGAAATTTGTGCCATCAAATTATTTGCACGTGTCAAGAGGATGCGAAATTTTCGCAGACAATTTATCTCATCCGACCCTCGCGAAGACACGTGCAACGTTGCGGAATGCCACTTTCGAGAACTCTGTCGTCTCGTTAAGCCACCGCACTACGCTAGTGTCTTTAACTGCCTAACCGCACGCATCCACGTACGGTTAAAGGAGGGAAAAGCGTAAGAGAGAAGCATACGAGTCTGTATTAGGTAGACGCAACCGCGAAGACGGGAACGTTTAAGATAAGCGATCTGTTAATTCCCTGTCGATGCTGGGAGGGAAGCGCAATGACGGGCGCCCGCACGAAAACCCGTCGATCGTAAACCCGATAGACGATTTTAGCGCTCCGACCGATTTCTCCGGTGAAGAGGCGACCGCGGCAAAAAGGACGCTGAAAGGGATTATTGGAGATTACTTCTGAACTTTGTCCGATTGTCAATACGCGTTCCCGTTTTACGGTGACGCCGCGATAACCCTTAATAAATGTCTTTTGGCCAAAAAACCTGCGGGAGCAAAGAAACACGAACGAACAGCGGGATCAGCGCCGAGATATATTGCCCCACGTAAATCCTCAATAAACCGTTACCGAGCCTGGCAATAAAACGAAACAGCGCCGTCACGTCGCGACAATTATCGTTGCACCAATGTCGCGACGTTCCCTGATCCGCAGTCGGACGTGCCGCACTAATATAAATGAGCCCGTTATGCTCGCGATAATGATCCTACCTAGAGGGGTCGGCGGTTATGCGTCAGAAAACGCCCGCTCCCTTTAAATGTGGCATTAGGCCGAACTTTCACGTAAGGGAGCTTGCGTAAAAGTTGCAAGTACGCGTTGTAAGACTCGCACGTATTAATAGCTAACCGTTATTACGACCGGGCTGAGTCCGCGCGGTATTAAGGAAAGATTCCGTGTCCCTTTAATACAATTAACACAATCGAATAATTGATACGCGTGGCCGTTTAAAATAATCACATTTCCTGAAACACTCGTTTTATCTCGCGCAACAGACGCGATACCGTAAGAATAACAGCGTGCGATTCAATGCACGTTGAAGAACGTAAGCTTCGAGCTTGCCGGGGAACAAGAACAAAATATTGCCGCCAGATTATTAAAATCTCTTTCTCCCTTTCTGTCTCGGCGACGCGTCGTGCGATACCGATACAAACTGTGCGTGCTTGGAGGTAACAATAAGGGTGAGCATTATCGCGAGCGCGGAGAACAGCGGAACCGGTAAATTTATATCGCCGGCGAATGCAAAAAGGTTTTATTAGCTTTTTACGCGCGGATAGATTATGTCTTGCGCCACCTCTCGTCGTTAATCTTTGGAGTTTCGTGAGGATAGCGGGCAGACAAGCAGGGGTGAGCCTGCAGTGTACGTCGGCACGCGACGTGCCCGCCTATCTGGCCCATGTTTCAGTCGGCGTGTTTCTTTCTTTTTTAGTCTCGTCTCGAGTGGGGGGGAAAAAAAGAGAGAAGAGCGTTACGATAAAGCTCCTAAATAATTGCGGCCGGCCTCTCGACTCCGCACGGCTAATACGCTCTGGGCGCCGATGCCAAATTGCAAACTTTGCATTGACCGTTATCGAGTCCGAGGATTGTAGTCCGCGAGAGAAACGCGTGCGATGCCGCATGTTATTTTTCTTTTCGAGGAGCGCCCTTTTTATACCATTTTCTTCATAATCCAAATTGTATCCTATGATTGAACGTAGGACGAACGTGGAGCGACTTACATAAGCCAACGGTTAAACCGTCATCTTCCAAGAACTTGTGGCTCCGCCGAGCTTTGTTTGCGGCCGAGCTTTGCAAGATACGCTAGTTAAGTAAGGAGTTTAATGCCGTGATGGGAGTCAAGCTGTTTCGACCGACGGAACGAAAAAGCGCCCGGAAGAGACGCAATTGCGACCGAAGGGCAGGCTAAGTGCTTTTAACGACAAAAAAGCAAGACAGCCATCCAGCGTAAAAGCCGCGATGTTATCGGCGGAGGTTGCGCAGCGCGAAGATAGAAAGGTTGAGCATGAATATGCAACTAGCCTCAGTCGTTAAACGCCTCCGTTACTCACGTTGCTCCTTGATAAGTCCACCGACGTTCGCCATTGTGCTCTCTACCTAAGCACCACTGGATGTTGGATAAAAAAAAAGAATATTTAACCCATATATCGATCTCGTGAAATTATATCGCCTAACAAAGAGTTGATGAAATCAGTGCGCAACTTCCTGATAATATCGTGATTAACCGTAAAATACCGTTGGGCCAGCGATCGATCGAAATTGAAAGCTGTTCGATTGAAAAGAAAATTTAATCGGTCGTAAGAAACATGCATGTAAAAAACCAGAGTTGCCTTTTTAAAATATTTATCGTCGTAATTATCGTCCACGGTGCGAAACGGATACGTATCGAATCTATCTCGGAGAATTTCGATTGACATTTTTGTCGATACGGGAGAACGTTAATTAAACCGCTCGGCGTTGCATCGAAATTCCATGAAATTTGAGCGATGCCCCGTTGAAGCAACCGAGTGTGCTAATCGCACAGCACATCGGCGCGTACTGGAGCTACACGTTGCAGCATCTGCGCATACATCAGGCTCGGCTTGACACGACTCTCGCGAATCGCGGTGTTCGATTTTCGGCAGGAATTTGTAAATATTGCGTATATGCGCGAACATTGCGCGCCGTCAACACGGTTTCGCATAAACACGGCTACGTCATTCGCATGGCCCGGCGAGCCCGTTTGTTCCCATTAACGATTGAAGTTGGCCCGATCGCGACAGATGGGTGCGACGTGACCGTACACCAGCAGCCGCATTCCGCGAAATCCATGAAATATTTAACCGCATTATTGATTCCCTCCGTGTGGTCCACGAGAGTGCTCCTCGTCGTAAATTCATTAGCCGCGAACTTCGCTGTTGGCCCGAACACGCG